CCAAATGCATTGTGTAAAAAGAGCTAGTAATTATAATCTTAAGGGGAAAGATGTTTTTGTTAAACCACAATTCAGAACCAGTTTGAAGGGAAGATCTACCCTAATTCAGGGTGTTGGACTGTGGAACGACTTGGAGTTAGATGTTAAGGAAGCTAAATCAATCTCGGTATTTAAGAAAATGGTAAAAATTCAATTGCTAAAAAAATATATATGAATGTATTTCATGAAAAAATGTTGGATATTTGAAATATTACTTGAGTTATTTACTTGTTTCTGATAATTTTCTGAATATGTTTGTTTGAATGGTTTATTAGATAAATAAGGAGCAGATTCAATAAGATTTTTTCTTCATCTGCTACCTTTCATTTTATATTTATAATTGTTTTCTAATTACATATATGTTAATTGATATGTATTTTATTTTGTTATGAAATGAATAAATAAATAAAAATAAATAAAAAATAAAAATAAAAATAAAAATAAAAAATTGGTCTTCCAGCTGTTTGTTATATGCTCAATTTCCTTTTTCCAGCCACTTATTGCTACTTGTCCCAACTTTTTTGGGATTTGTTGACACTGTGAAATTTTGAATAAACTTATTTTTCCTTTAAAATGTTACATTTACTCAGATTAAACTTTTGATCTGTCATCTATGTTATATTACGAATAAAATATTGACATGTGCCATCTCCACATCATTGCATTCAGTTTTTATTCACAATTTGTTTAGTGTCCCAACTTTTTTGGAATCCGTTTTGTAGTTAATATTAGACTTCGGCTGCTGATGTTAAATATTTTATATATCTTTAAATGACTGAAAACATCAAAACGGAAACCTATCACGATATAATTTGCAGAGACCTTTGGCCACACATTGAAAATCCTGTTATTAATTAGATACCATATGTAGAGTATTAAAAATTAAGGAAAATTAAGTAGAAGAAGTATTTTGAAACACGTTTTGTATGTGAGCTTCTTTCTGTGTGCTAAAGTATTACCCTGTAAATTTAATGTCAAAAATTATCCTGTTGTAGATGCAACCAATGATTACTTTCCTAAAGTTTCATTAAAATCCACTTGTTCCTGACACCATTTGATAAGACATGATTGTTCACCATTTCACACATCAGTATGTTTCAGCAGTTTAACCTGCCCTCGACTGTGAGAACTGGACTCAGATATTTCTCCCTCCTCCTGTGCTTCTGACCTGTACAGAAGTTTGAACTGTCCCACAAAAGGTATAAAAAATGGTCTTGGAAGACAATCTCATGAAGAAGCAGATATCGTTATCAGAGTCACAGATCTTATGAAAACAATAATGATCCGCTTGTCGTTCTACCAGCTCTTCCTCCACACTCCTCCATGCTGCCGTTTTGTGCAGATGCTGAATTCAGTCCAGCTGTGCGAGACATTTCAGCAGGACAAAAACAAAACAAAGCGGAAACTATATCAAGTTTTGGATTGATATGCACTTAAATTCAGAAAAATGCAATCCGGTGGATCAGCTACACGTTTTTCACAGAGATAATTGTTGTTTTGTCAATAGAATCAGAATCAGAATAAACTTTATTGGCATTGCACCGAGATACAACGCGAATATGTACGTACAGTCGTCCGAAAGATGGGCGGAGTGCACGAAGCTGCAACTATCGAAAGCGTGGCCTTCTTATCCTTATCAGATAATAATCTTAGATAGGAAAAGGGGGAGAAACATGAGGGTAGATAGTGGTATTACAAAAAAAAGATCTTTCACATCTTGTCTATCAGGACACGATTTGAAACATAAAAAAAAAACCTCTACCAGCAGCACAATTAAAACATGATTACATTTGCATTTGACATCAAGGTGTTGAGATTTGTCCATGAGCGTTTTTTCAGATCAGCCACAGTTTCTGAAGATGTTGTTTTAGTCAGCAGTTCTGATAAGCTTGCACAGAAAGTTCTCGTGTGTGTGTGTGTGTGTGTGTGTGTGTGTGTGTGTGTGTGTGTGGGTGGGGGTGATAGATGAAGCTTTTGTCCTTGGTTACGAATGACTCAGGAGAAATTTGATAGTCGGCCCGTCACCGAGGCCGTCGGGAGTCAGATTTAGATAAGCTTGATTCTTGTTTTACTTCAGGCAGAGATTACTTCTTTCCAGCCTTGAGTCCATCTGGGCGTTCTGGTTCTGAAAATGCCTAATTATGGGATTCCATTCCACTGATCCATGTTATGAGTCTCCTTCAAGGTCGAACCCACCACGCTGACGAGTCCCAGAAGCCGCAGGTGGCCTGCACTTCTCATAAATCGCCTCCACCTTATGTTTAAGCTTGTAAACCAGTTGATTTAAAGTTCCTACAGCACGGACCAAACCTTCACACTGACTCGGAAGCTTTTCCATGGCCAAAACTGCTGCTGATGTCTTCTTCAAAAGTCGATAAAACAGAGCCCCGCTGATGCCAAAAAGCAGAGTTCCTGCTATCATAATTCCAAATATGTAAACGTCTTCAACATCCTCCTGAGACAGAACTGAGAGGTACATCAGCTGCCACACTCCCCACAGATCCATGACGTACCCCACAGCGTGAGTCTCAGCTGGACACGCCGGTTCAATAGCTTATTTTTGTGAAGTTTTACAGAACAGGTGACTGAATTTCTCTCTGGTTGACCAAACCACTGGTTAGGTGGAGAAAATATGTTTTGGAAGGCTGTTTTTGCTGTCCCACTCACAGAAACTGTTGAAATTGTTGGAATATTTTCTTTATTTCAGTGTGCCTTTATGTCAGCGAGTCTCTCCAACTCGTTTTCTGGAGGATTCTTTAAACTCAGTCACATCAGTTTGTTGTTTCGACAGCCGTCTGTCAGGGACCATGTACACAAAGTCATTGCCTAAACGCTGACAATGTCACTGTTGTATAAAAAAAAATAAAAAATCAAAATTAATCAAGAAAAAAACTTGCGAACTTCAAAAAACTACATATAAATTATTAACATTTTTATGAAAAGGCATCTGGAGCTTGACTCAGCTGTAATCAAGCAGGAGGAGTTTGGAGTGGAAAACGTTAGACGTTCCTAATAATGCTCAAAATTAAATAAAATTGTGGGTTTGACCATCTGCAATTAAAATGTATTAATCAGAAATGTCAAAAAAAAAAAGTGTGCAAAATAACAAGTGAGGTGGAAAAATTGGAAAACAAAACCTCTACTTAAATAATGACATTATTCACATGTTTATTTTGGTTAAAAGATTTGTTGTTAGGGTCATGTCAAAATTAAAAGTTCATCACTTCAGTGTGAAGATGAAACTCAACATGTGTTTTGATCAGCGGGCACAAGATGTCTGGGACAGATTAAAATATGATGGGATTATGTTTTCTTTAAATTCCAGCTCAATCATATACAGCTTGCTTGAATGAAACTTGTCACAGAAAGGAAAAGAGCAGTTTTCACTGAAAATACCCTTTGAGTAAAACCAGCTGCCCTCAGGTCAAACAGTAGACGGTAACTGATGGAGAAACACCGACGAGGAGAAAACCTCTGCCTGGAACGGCTGATCTGTTTGTAGTTTTAACGACTGATTTCAAACACTTTACTTTCTATGCAAGTTTTGTAATGTTTGAAGCTGTTATTTGTGTTTCTTGTGTAATTATTACGCAACTCAATAACAATTGTTAGAAAAAGGAGAGGACAGTCAGAAGTATTACAGATGACTCCATGCTCGTTACGAAGCGTCCGTTTCTGGTTAAAGATTGAAAACCATTGCCTGTACAGGTGAGAAGTAAAATGGGATTTTTTTTAAACTTAAAATATTTTGATTAAAACAGCTTTTTATAGCTTTTATTATTTTTTATTTATTTTTTAAAAAGCGTGCAATAAAGACGAGCTGGACTGGGAAGCTCAGTCCTCACCTCCTTCTACAGGTGTGCAGTAGAGAGCATCCTGTGCTCCAGCATCAACGTGTGGCATGGAGGCTGCACAGCTGCAGAAAGAAAAGCTTTGCAGAGAGTGGTGAAGGCTGCACAGAAGATGTTGGAGTCAGTCTCCACACCATCACAGACATCTACACCTCCAGATGCAGGAAGACCACCTGCATCATGAAGGACCCCACTCACCCAGCACACACACTTTTTGCCCCACTCCCCTCAGGAAGGAGGTTGAGGAGCATTAAGTGTAGAACCACTAGACTGAGGAACAGCTTCTACCCCGAGGCTGTTAAGACTCATGAATCTCTAACCAGAATAATCACTGTGAAAAATCACATCATGCTGCTGATCTGTTTCATGTTGCTGCTGATCTGTTTCATGTTGCTGTTGATCTGTTTCATGTTGCTGTGTTCATTCGTACTCATCTGCTCACACAGACTCATGTTCGTGCTGCTGTTCGACGTATTATTGTACTACTAGTGCTTATTGTGTTTTTAATGTTTTTCTTATTTCATATCTTAGATCTTATTACGGTTTTTCTTTTACATTTTATACTTTTGTTGGATGTTACTGGGACCCTGTGTACACAATTAAGTTCCACCACATGTACCACATGTGGTGCGAATGACGATAAAAAACCTTGAATCCTTTAACCAAGAAGGTCCTGTTGAGATTTTACATCTCCGTTTCCAGAGTGGTTCCATTTTGGTTACGGATGTAAAAACTTTTATTTATTATGCCATCTAAATGTGACTTCCAACAATTTGTTGCAGCTGAGGGATTGTAATTTGGAAATATAACCAATGGTTCTTTAGGAAGAGGATGATGAAATAATGAAGCTTCTAATGAACTATAGACATGAGACAAGTTCAACATCTGCCATCAGTTTTCTGACTGCACTTATAAAGAACTTATTTCTGTTCTAAATATTTGCTGTTTGTTTATTATTTGTTTCATGAAGAAAAGTGCTTTATATATAAAGTTTAATAAATAAAGTTTGATTTGAAGAGTTATAAGACTAAATGACATTTATGATTTATTGAGATAAACAACAAACCGTTCAGACCTCTTTAACTCTGAACCAACTTTATTAAATGCGTCATTAACAATGAGTTGTTTTTCTGCACAATAAAACAATCTGAAGATGATAAAAGCTGGTACAGTGGATTGAAGTGCTACTTCTTCTTGCCACCTTTGGGAGCTTTGTCAAGTCCTTGGATGTATTTGCGTGGAATTTGATAATGATCTGAAATAAAAATGAAAATAAAAAACTTAATAGAAAAAAAATCAACAAACAATTTAAAAACAATTTTCTAAGTTTTAAGGAATAATATTACAAAGTTTCTTACTAAGCAGCAGACTTCCAGTTTGATGAATCTGGTTGCCTTGGACCTGGACCAGAACTTTGTCCTTAGTTCCAGGGACTGGGTGTAAGACGGTGCTGGCCTGGACTCGGTGCTGCAAAGCAGTGGCAACAGCAGCTGGATCCAAACCATACACGTCCAAATTCTTGATCAGAGTCACCTACAGGAAGAGAACTAGTTAGATCCACTGTCCAAAAAGACAACAGCTGTAACGTGAGCTGTGAAGTCAGAGAAATGTAAGAGCAACAGTTCCAAAGACAAATCTGCAATCGTTTGAACCGTTGTGTCTTTTACAATATTTATACAAACGAGACTCGGGACAAATCTGTAGTTTCAGCCTAAAATTCCCAAGTAAACAGAAACATCTACCAGTTTTTATGATTTGCATCTTTCCTCATTCATTTCTATCATTAAGTTCCAAACTTTTGCACATAATTGTACCTACCTACCATCCATCCATCCATCCATCCATCCATCCATCCATCCATCCATCCATCCATCCATCCATCCATCCATCCATCCATCCATCC